GACAACCGTTTGCCACGGTCGGATACGGACAGGAGGAAAATCTTCTAGGATGTTTTTCTATCCGGGCACCATGGGTTCGGGATTTTAGTGGCCGCATCGAGTTCTTCCTGATCGTATTCGCAAAGTTTCAGCCGTATCGCACGGTGCATTCTACGCACAGTTTGAATATCTTGATGAGCCTTTGTATTTTCGGTCCAAGGATCCTCTGTTATCCAGTTTTTCACACGGCAAACAGTAGATAAGTATCTTCAATGATAAAATTTTGACATGCATTTTTCAAAAAGATATCAAATGTAATTTAATTCAATTATTGTAATTTAATTCAACTACAGTTTCGTATATTATTTCGAAAAAATTATTTATATTTATTACATAACAGTTGAAATTAGCTATAGTTAAAATTATTTTGCAGTAGAGTAAAAATTTCCTTAATTTTTGCTTTTTGATATTCTCGAGCTATATATTGAATGATTTCTGTAAATATACCATTATCATTATAAGAAATACAAGTTTAATAGAAAAATAAATTATTTGATTTAAATCTAATTATTAAGTTCTGTAGAAATCTTTTCATATATTTGAAAAATTTTGTCGAAATTATTACAATTTATACCTTCTAAACGCTAAGTACGGCGTGTGAGATTGCCGGCTCAAAATCATTGGTTTAAGACCGTCTATAAAAGTAAATATTTGGAACAGTGACAGCATGTTAGCGAGGAAGATCGAGAAGATGTGTTCTCGTGCGAATTTTTGTCCTCTCTGAAACATGTCCATATCCAACCAGAGCGGTCTGTCCGTTGCACTTCGGCCGCAATCTCCACGATGTAGCGCGGCCGATATGAAGAACAATAAAGAATTTGGCAATTTTGGAATATACGTTTTCATATTTTCCATTGTATGCTCATATTCTTTATCCGTCCATTCGTCATTGTGAGACGTCCATTCGTCATTGTTAGGCGTCCATTCGTTGTTAGACTTCGTATGCTGGTTCGTGAAATGTTTCATATTCTTCACCACGTGCTTCTTATATTTCATTGCGTTCTTTGCCTCGGCGAGTTCATAAAGTTTGTCTGTTGTTGCATTATCTATGCGGTAATCCATGTGATTGTCGTTCTGATTTTCTAAGTTTGATACCATTTTGTTTATAATATTTTAAATATTTCACAATTCTATGCAGACCAATGGTAACCGTCTCAGTTAAATCAACTGTAACACAAAACATTTTAAACAAAAATGAAAAATAATAGTATTGCTTATACAAAATAGTCTAAATAATTAAATACACACTATATACCCATTGTCAGCAGTTAATGCGATACTGCGCGCGACGACTTGTATTTTATACACGCCATCGTGAAGAGTGTAGTGAACTCGCTGCACACTGAGCAGTCCGAGCTTCTTTCGACAACCCGCGCAACCCCACCAACGCATTGAAAAATCACGCCTCTCTCCCCAACCGCTGCTATCTTTTCCGTCCCACCAAGATCATCGGGATCCCCGATCCGACCGCGAATGCGAACAGGTTCTCACTCTTTCAATAAACCACCGAGATACTGTCAGAGCCATCAAGCTTTCATGCATTTCGCGTAATCAACGTCTCTGCTGCCCTTTAACAATGTACTTCACAGTTACATACAGCAGCTTATTTCCTATCGGCAGTGATGTTAGCAGCCGCTAGTCACATAAAATCGTGGTATAGGGGGCATGCACAAAAGTAAGAAACGTGTCCAAGTGCGCTCCACGCTCGGATATTATAAAGAAATAGATATACTATGTTTAGTCTTCTTTCTATCGAACCGGCCACGAAGTAGCATTGCGCGCTTTTTGTTGCGTATGACAGCGTCAAATGCTTCTTTAAGATTTATAGTCTTGTATATATATATATATAAAAAGTTAATATTAAAATATCTCAATATTATATGCATTTATTATGTAAAGCACTTTTACTCTTAAACTGTATATCACCTACATAATCGCCGAAGTAATCTAAATTACCCAGATAGCACATGTTTGTTTCAGAAACGTTTCATAAATGTTTCTTCGAAATCCCCCTTTATCCTTTATCCACGCGCGAAAAAAATGTACTTTTATTCACAGAATTAATAAAATAATACATTGTGTGTGCGCGCACGCGTGTGTGTGTGCGTGTGTAAATAGGCAGAATAATTGCTTTAAAAAAACTAAAAAATGTCTAAAATGTCTAAAGACATTTGTGCTGCTTGGTACACATATACATAGTACATATGTATGAATACATTATTATTTTAATTCCGTGAGAAAAAGCAAATTTTTTTCGCAGATAAAGAAAAAACGGTTTTTTCTTTTATTTGTGAAAAAAATATATATGTTTATATATGCAATAGTTAATATGTTTTCTGCAGTTACAATAAGAAATCACAAATATAGTATTTAATTCATCACAAATATGATAAATATCAATATATCATAATATCAGTATCATAAATATAGTAAAAAAAATTTTTTTGCTAAACCATTTTTATTAATTAAATTTATAATTATTTAATTTTTGTTACATTAAGTTCTTAAAGAACATTTAAACATTATAGGACTAAAGAAAAATATATGAAAAAAATTAAGCACAAATAAAATTAAAAAAAATTTTTTTGTTTTTTATAAACATGAATAACCGTTTCTTAAATTATGATTTCAAAAACGCTTTTTATTGATGCTTCACGTTTGAAAAACATTAGATACATACAAGAAACATATATATAACGAGCATGTGTTCCTTGGATAATTATTCACGCTTACTATCCGCATTGAATAACAAACTTTGTGACGCATATAAGTAGTTTTTGCTATTACGTAAAATTAATCCATATTAATATTATTCTAAAATCGAAAAAAAAATACACGTGCACTTTATATTAATATTAATATGAAATGAAATGAAGTCAAGAAAAACACATAGATTAATTTTACATAATAGCAAAAACTATTTGCGTCGCAGTCATTAAATGCTTACAGTAAGCGTGAATAATTATAGTTTAAGCATTCTCAATAAGCACTGTGCAATCACAACAAATCAATTATCCCAGTTTTACAATCTATACAATCTAAATAAACACGTTTAACGTCAAATAAAGATGTGTTTTTTTATTATTCTTTATCTTTTTCTCTCCTATTATTGCATAAATTCGAGCAAACAGTTTCTTTTTCTGTTGATCTTGTTTCCTACTATATTAAACAATATTAAACAATAACAAATTGTGGACTTCTGACAAACCCATATACATATTTATATTTAAAAATATATAAAAAGTTCTTCATTTTTCTTTCGAAGATACAAAATGCATATTACTAATTAATATTGCAGGTATATTATGATGATATCCGAGACAGGCATGGAAGAAGATATAGTTCCTGACATCTCTGTAATTTGAGATTGTGCTGGTGCAAATATCCATCATGTATTAAAGTATTTACCATCTCCGTGAGCAGCTCCATGCGTCAACTTGATGATGAAAGTTCTTCTGTGACGTACAACAAGTGTATAATAACGGGGATAATAACGTATAAAAGACGCAAGCAAAGGAATAATGTCCTAATTGTTAGATCTGTTTCCAGTATATTTTGATTCTCGTATAAATTCTAAGTTTATATCTTAATGAGACTATAAAAAATTATTAATATTTTATAAACAACTAAGTCAGTGGGATTATAATCGGAGATAAATTATAATATTAATGTAATATTATTAATAAAAGAAATGTCTAATTGGGCTTTCTTAATGATAAAATTATAGCATTAAATTTAATAGCTATATAAGCCCAGAGCCAGGTATTATTTGCTCAGTAAATTGTGATTAAAAAGAATCAGTTACAACAGACGTTTCGGCCCATTTATATTGGCCATCCTCAGTGAGAGATACAAAGTCAACGGAACGTTAGAAAAACATAATAAAGGTACGCGTCAGACGCAAGATTGTCGGAAGGCGGTTACATAAATCAATCAATTTCAAAAAGGTGTACATACTCTTACTTGAGTGTCCGAGTTATAAACGCACCAGTGCATCGTCGTGCTAATTTTTAGGGCTCATATAGCTATTAAATTTAATATTATTGTAATATTTTGTATGTAATATTATATCTAATGTAATATTAATAATAATGTCTCATGATTATTAGTTCCTATTTCATTTTGAACGATGTATAACACGCGAGATAATATAAAATTCAAAATAAAATCCTATTCCTAATTTTATTTTGTGACAAAAGCATGTAGCCTAAAATATGTGTAATTTCAGTTTGTATATATACAAAACAATTTGGTGAAAAAACAAACGATAACAAAAATGTTGAAGCTCGAAGTACCTACGCTAAAAGAAGTTCTAAAGAATAGTGGTGGAGATGAAAAACTTTTGGAAGAGTTGTTGTCGAAATTTCGACTATGGCTGAAACAGCAAAGTCATCTTCCTCAAGGTTTGTATTTCTAATTTTTAATCAATTTTATCGATTAATTTGTTAATAATTATCTAAAAATCTTAAAAATATACAAGTTTAATCATAATATCTACATTTAATAATAAACAATGCACAATGTTTTATTCATAATTTCTTTATATTATATATATTAAGATAATGACAAATATTATTTTCCGCTTTACAGATATCTCTGATCAACGATTAAAATTTTTTATTTATGCTGTAAAGTTTAATTTCGAAAAAGCTAAAAAAAATTTGGATACGCTTTACACTCTTCGCAATCTGGTTCCGGAACTTTTCGAAAATTTCGATCCGTTTAGCGATGATATAAATCTTCTTCACACATACTTGTAAGCACTTAAACCAATCATAAATTATTTCTAGATTTATAAATGTTGCTATAGAAAATATTTTAATCTAAAAAATAGTACGATTAAAAATTTAGTTATAATATTGTAACAATAAGCAATAAATATTAACAAATATTATATTATTGCAAAAATTCTTTGCCTTGATAATTTAAAATCTATTTTGTATTTACACAAACACAATTGTATAATATTTTTCTCAATATTTACTTATTTTAGTCAGAATATAGGTTTGCCGAAATTAACACCAGAAGGATACAGATTGTATATCTGTCGTCTAATACAAGATGACTCTCCTATGTATAATGCTTGGACAATTCTAAAGTACGTATGTAATATCTACAAAGCAGAACAAATATACTATTTCACAAAAATTTAATATTTTGTTTGTCTATACATAATATACTAATAAGATATAGAATGTGCGCGATTTAGAATTGAGAATATTACATCGCTAAAAATGCGTATGTATTTTGATAATGAAAAAGGCCTGATCTCATGTCGAAACGGTTATTCTTTGTGTTTATTTGGTAAATATATAAGTATTTGCACGACCATCTAGCATTAACTCATTAGCCCCTTTTTACAAGATTTGAGTTTTATTAGAAATATTATTTTTATAATTATTATAAAATTATTAATATTTTAATTATTATTTTTCTAATTTTCTATTTTATTTAATATTTGGAAATATTTTAATATACATTTCCACGTTAATTCGAACGCAAAACGTTTATTTCTCAACAATTGAAGAATTTTACTTGCACCATTTGGGAAA